TAGAATAATATCGTGATTTGGCACTTGAGACCTTCCCGATGAGATTTTAAATGTTTCGACCTTGAATAAACGTGCATTAGTGAACCCCATCTATTTGCCAGACAGACACTGTAGTGGTAGGAGCAGAAAAAGAAGTAAACGACAAGCAGTCACAAGTCCCTCAAAGTTCTTTTTCTAATGAAAACCGATCGTTAGTTTGGAGAGTACTGGGGGAGTTTGTATTTGGGACGGGGACAGGAGAACGAGTGGGATTCCGTAGACAGAGAAGATCTTTCTGAGTGTGACATTTAAGCAGCCAAGTGTGGGATGAGAAGGAGCCAACCGTGTGCAAGTTGAGGAGGAGGAGGACATACCGGACAGGGTCCATCGGGTCTCACCTGGTCATTGTGTTGGTCTTCATTCCCTGGAATGACGAGCAAGCGGGAATTGGGGGGAATGATCAGGAAATCCTTGGTATTAGGATGTGTGATGAGAGCAAATGTGCAGAAGAAGTGGCTGGGGCATTTAGATACTTGATAAATGAATGCGTGTATTCTTCCTTATTGAAGCTCATGATAGTTTTTGAAAGCGAACTTCTTAATGGGGAAAGAGTGGGCTTATTAGAATGTAGTGTAAAGAAGCATTTTTAGGCTACCTTGTCCTTTTTTTCATCCATTTTTCCTATCCGTAAAAGTTCAACCGAAAAATACTTAAGTTTTCCAAGTCCCTGTTTACCTACGTGAAGCAGCTTCTACAGTGTTCATTTCATATTCAGCGTGACACACTTGAAGGTTTCGTATCATGCCAAGTGTCATATTATAACATTCAATAATTTTCACGATCTAGATCTTTTAAGTGTTGAATGCTGTGTTACAGCAACTGTACTTATTAGAGAATTTTTAGTACATGCTCCTAAAAGATATCCTCTTATTTTCAGGGGGGAATGCAAAGGACAGTGAGGCAGTTTGATGTTCATTCCTTGTTGAAATACGCACATAAGTTAGTGTTTTGTCCATGAATGTGTTTCCTCTGGCTTTCCGTGGTTGGTTTCCAGTGTCATAGCCAGAAGCCAAGAAAAACTAAAGGACCTAAAGAGCATATATGATGCTCTGTGTTGAGATGTTTTGCTTTTCAATATGTGCTTTTGTTAGATTTAATTGTAATTGCTCTTAAAACAGGAAATTCCAGATGTTTTCTTAGAAAGTGATCAGGAAATCTTCAGGCAGCTCATTTTTGATACTAATTTTAACAGAGTATCTTTGAGAAACTCCCACAGAAGCGTGCTGCTCCTGTGTTTGGGACTGCAGATCAAAGAGGACAAAATGTGGTTAATGGACAAGTAGCAGGTAAGAACTGTATTTCATCAGCAAGTCATTTGAGGGAATGTTTGTTTAAAACATGAGTACTGCTACATCCTAGCGGCCACGGAAAATCACCAAATAAGTGCATAGAAAGGAAATAGAAGTGAAATGGTGAGAAGTTGCATGGGTCATCAGGTGAAAGCAGTATTACCAAAAGAACCTAACTGAAGTGTATGGAGCCCAATATGCTATCCATTTCTGTAGATATTTTGCTATCTTTCTCCATACTGCGAACATCATCCCGAAACTATTTCAATCTCTGAAATTCTTCTTTGCTATTTTTTTAATTTTATTGAAATATTTAGGAGTGAGATAAACTTGTATGTTCATTTAAAATTCACAGTAACAAATGTTCCCCTTAAATTATCTCTGCCTACATTTTACAGTTATGAAGTCTGCATTAAGATTAGGACAAGAGCAACAATTACAATCACGTCTGCATTTTGAGGTACCGTGTGTTATTGTTGTTGTTATTGTTACTTTAAAATACAGACATTGAGTGATGTTAAAACAAAACGGGCTGCTTGGACTTTAGTTTCTCATATCTGCATGTGCCCATGAAGAATTATTTCGTTGTTTTTGTCAACCTATGGGCCAAAGAGATACATAGTACCATTCTGCTAATTTGCAGGATTAATATAATGAAGCCAGGATAGTACAGTGCACAAATCAAAGGCTTTGAAGTCATAAGGAATTAATTTATATTGTGAAGTTTATCTAAAACCTAGAGAATTATTCCAGTGAACCTATTTCCAAATGCATGAATCTATGGTGTGTTTTTGTGTGTGTGTTTGTGTGTGTCTGTGTGTCTGTGAAAGTCTTAGTGAAAGGCAGAGGGAATCCTGTAGTACAGTAGTTTTTTACTCTGGGAATTTAAAAAGATAATGACTGGGAGTTGAATGTTTTATTACATTAGGATCGTCAAGTAGTGATTGCAAGAAATATTTCAGGAGAAGTAGAAGCATGGGAAACAATACCTATGTGGGAGTATAATGATAGCGATTTGGTTTAGTGTTGTTTTAATAAGTAGAAACCACTTCTGAACCTAGAACTCATTGAGTACATTCATGACAGCCATGCTTGTTATAACATGAGTACAAAACAGTGATTGTCTATTCTCAAGTAATATCTGAAAAAAAAAAAGTAATATCTGTGGTTAGAGGAAGGGCTTGTTCTCGTAGATATAAGTGGCTGCTGCATAGTGGTACCACAATCATAGCTGAATAGAAAAGATATGTTAGTATTCTGGTTCTGTAACTTACTAGCAGTGGAATCTTGGAAAAAGTTATTTGACGTGTTTGAATGTTAGTGGCCTGGTTCATAAAAATGGTACTGGTACCTACTGCTTAGGTATGTGTCATGAACAAATGGGGTAAGAAATGCAAAAACACTTTGTAATGTAAAATGTACTTATGAATGTAATAGAAAATGGTCACAGTGGTATTCCGTGACTTAAGAAATATTGACATATCTATTAAACCTGAAGGACAATAACATGCCAATTGTGTCAAGGAAAGGATGACAACGTGAGAATGGGCAGGTGGATTTCTAGCTTGGGGTATTGTAAGTTTCAGTATACTATTACCAGAGATATTGTATAATAGTATGATTTGGCACTTGAGATCTTTCTGATGAGATTTTAAATGTTTTGACCTTGAATAAACTTCCATTACTGAACATCAGCTATTTGCAGACAGATACTGAGTATACAAGATGAGGGCTTGTGCTGTAGTGGTAGGAGGAGAAAAACACCTAAATGACAAACACTCATAAGTCACCCAAAATGCTTTTTCTAAAGAAAACAAAATGTTAGGTTAGAAAGCACTGGGGAGTTTGTATTTGGGATGGGGACAGGAAAGGGAGTGGAATTCCATAGACAGAGAACATCTTTCAGGCAGACATTTAAGCTGCCAAGTGAGGGATGAGAAGGAGCCAACCGTGTGCAAGTTGAGGAGGAGGAGGACATACTGGACAGAGACCAATGGGTCCCATCTGCTTATCATTTTGGTCTTAAGACCCTGGAATGAGGAGGAAGCGTAAAGTGGGGTAATCATCATCAAATCGTTTGCGTTAGGATGTGTGAAGAAAAGCAAATATGCAGAAGAAGTGGCTGAGACATTTAGATATTTGATAAGTAAATTGCACGTATTCTTATGAAAGCTCATGATAGTTTTTGGAAGTGAACTTCTTAATGAGGAAAGAGTGGCATAGTATATGCAATGTTTGCTTGCATTTATTTAAACATAATGTGAAGTAATTTTTTCATTCTCCCTTGTCATTTAAAAAATTTTTTTCCTATCAGTAAATGGTTTATCAAAAAATATATACAATTTCCATGCCCTTGTTTACCTACATGAAGCAGCTTCTACAGTGTTCATTTTATGTTCAACGTGACACACTTGAAAGTTTCATATCATGCCAAGTATTGTATTTTAACATTAAAAAGTTTCATGTTCTGAAATTTTTAAAATTTTTAATGCTGTAAGTATTACAGCAAGTGTACTTATTAGAGAATTTTTAGTACATGTTTCTAAAAAATTTCCTGTTATTTTCAGTGGAGAATGCAAAATACAGTGAGGTAGTTTGATGTTAGTTCCTTGCTGAAATATGCACATAAATTACTATTTTGTCCATGAATGTGTTTCCTCTGGCTTTCCAAGGTTGGTTTCCGGTGTCAATAGCCACATGAGGAAGAAAAATAAACTTGACCTAAAGAGCATATATGAGGCTCTCTAATGAAATGTTTTGCTTTTCAATATGTGCTTCTCTTAGTTTTAAGTGTAATTGCTTTTCAAACAGGAATTTCCAGATATTTTCTTAGAAAGTGATCAGGAAATCTTTAGAAAACTCATTTTTTATCTAATTTTTAACAGAGCATCTCTGAGAATCTTCCACAGAAGTGTGCTGATCATGTGTCTGGGGCTGCGGATCAAATTGGAAAAAATAAAGTAAATGGGGAAGTAGAAGGTAAGAACTGTATTTCATCTGAAAGTCATTTGAGGGAATGTTTATTTGAAACATGAGTACTGCTACACCCTAGTAGCCAAAGAAAATCACCTATTAAATGTGTAGTAAGGAAATAGAAGTGAAATGGCTGTAAGTTGTATATCTCCTCAAGTGTCAGCAACGGATTAAAGAGAGTGCGGCTAAAGGAGCTGAAGCATTGGTTCTGTCTCAAGATACTCTGAGACCTGAGGAAAGTCAGGAAATGAGGAAGAGGAAAGTAGTAAAAGAGGGAATGAAGAATGAGGATGGCAGTGAGTCCAGGGAGTCACTGATGGAGAAAGAAGCAGGTGTAAATAACGGACAGTGGTAAAATATAATCATTCTTTAGCAAAAGGAAGAGCAGGGTATTAGAAAGGTGGGAAAAATTACAGTGAGCTTCCAGGACCAAAACTTGTCAGAGACATCAAGCAAAATTTTCCCACTCTTCTTGTCTTCCTCACTGTTGGGAAGGCAGTAAGGATTGAGGGGGCTGACCATGCAGTGCTTTTACCTACCACAGAGAAATATGAGCACATACGGTCAACCATACAAGTGCACAATTTTGTTATGTGAAATGTTGCTTCTTCACAGAAGAGTATCCTACAGGCCACATAAGAGAATTGCAAAGAAGAAGAGAACAGGATTAGTAATGGAGAGATCAAGGATTCTATAATGTGGTCAAAAGTCCATTAGGAAATTTCTCTTCTAACGCCATTTCCTTTTGGGGGATGTGACAGGGAGCAACTAGAGGTTAGATTCCAAATGGGTGAGGTAAGGTAAAGGAATGTGAAAGAAGTCTCTAGAGACCAGAGCTGCTCAAACTTTATTGAATCACCTGGAGACCTTGTTAAAATTACACATTCTGACTCAGCAGGTCTGGGATTCTGCATTTGTAGCAAGTTCTCAGGGGATGCTGGTGCTACATGGTCCTCAGACCATGCTCTGAGTAGCAAGGGTACAGACTTGCCTTCAGAGAAATCTGGAAGAAGAACCATTGGATAATAGTCGAAGACATAACTGAGTCAAGGGAAAGTGTTATTTTGCTTTTATTGGTGAGCATGTTTATAGCCAGATAGGAAGGAGCAGAGAGATGAAGAAATAGAAATTATAGATGTAAGATATTATTGGTAAATAAGCAGGGAAGAAGTGGCTGGAATAATCCATAAAGATCATGTAAATAAGAAAGAATCAATGCCATGAGTCAGGAGGTTGTTTTTGAAGCGTAAGAGGGATTATGAAAGGGAGGGAGGAAGGAAAGAAAGAATGTATCTAGGTAATTTGGAGCTAATGATGAAGAAACTTGAGAGAACCCACCTCAGATGACTTTGGTGTATTCTGCCTGAATATTCATTGCTCACTGAGTAGATCTCACTGAATAGATCATTGCTGTTCCAGAGATTAGTGGAAGCAGGAGCGTGTGCTAAAATCAGGGTAAAGCCCAGCTGCTCATTTTTCCTTTTTATAACTCTCAGGCATCAAAGATAGGTGTTGCACTGATTTGAGTTATGCAAGTGACATTAATTTGAATACAGAAGGATTGGGTTTTCTGAAAAGATTGCTAATTTTTTGATAAGATGGCTGTTTCATAAAATTCTTTGAAAATTCACATGATATACCAAACCAGACTAATTTGGGAAACAAAAGAAATGGTAGGATTCATTTCTTGAATACTAAAATTGTATTTGCAGTACATATTGCACTGATTTTGAAGTATAAAAGGTTATTTGAATCTAATGTTCTGCCAGTATAATGTATTTTTTCCTGTTCAGTAACCATATTTTAATATTGATAGCTTATTATACATTATTTCTTTTTCTTTTTTTCCTTTTTTTGTCTTTTTTTTGTGACCAGTAACAGGATCACAACCCTCGGTGTCGCGCCCGTACCGCGACTGGCAACGGGATCGCAACCCTCAGTGTCGCATCCGTACCGCGACCAGCAACGGGATCGCAACCCTCGGTGTTGCGCCCGCACCGCGCTCAACCTGTGAGCGGACCGGTCTCTATATGGGATCCGAACCCTCGGCGGGAGCGCCGCTGCGCTCCCAAGTGCCGCACCCTACCGAGTGCGCCACCGGGCCGGCCCTATACATTATTTCTTAGATATGTTTTATATTACCTTCTTGCATGAGTGGACCAAGAAATTTTAAGATTGCTAAACTAGAGGATACAAGAAGTGGGGTTATACCAGTAGCCCATGTGGGTACAGAAAAAAATGAATATTGTTATTAGCTATTATTTTACAAGTATATGAGTATATCCAAGTTGATCATTTCAGAACAGTTTCTCTGATGAGAAATGAATTCTACATTCAACTGAACTGTAATCACGGCTGCACTCTTCCTAAATTACAGAACAAACGAGAGAGCGGTTCAAGAGGATGTTGTATTTTTATAACAAGCTTTGTGGAAATGGCTTTTTATTTTATTTTATTTATAAATTTATGTTATAAATACTAGTAGTTTAATGGTATAAGTGATTCTCGTGTGTTGCTTAAAGATAAGCTGTTGCATTTTACCATCAGCTTTGACATTTGTCCTTTCAGGGTCATGATTTGCTCCTCTGATTAAAGATCACATTTCTCCCTTTCAATCAGCATGTTCATATTTGTATATGCACACTTTTCTATTTTAGTTACAGTCATTTGAAACAATCTCACTTTTGAAGTCTTAACTGCATGTGTTATTAAACGTATATTACTATTTTTTCTTCAGTATATTTCTGTTGAGTTGCTTTCTAACCAAATGAAACCGAAAAACCCAAATCTGGAACTAATCATTTTCAAAGTCAAGCGTGAGGATTACCTCTGCATGAATGTGTGACTGGCTTTGTCATATGTACATATAAGTGATTATATGTCCCTTTTGCTTTTTAGAGTCTGCTGAGAAATATCCTCACTTGCAGGTAATAACATTTTTATCTTGAATTACTGAGTACAGATTCTATGAAATATGCATTATTTATTAATCATTTTGTTTCAAAACCCACTTAGCCTACCACTGAAGTGAAAGACTCTGTTCCAAATAAAGTAGTAGGAGTGAAGGATATACAAACATCTAGATCAGGTACATTTTGCAGTAGAAATTTAAGTCTGAAAAAGAATGTGCTAAAATGTTTCAAGTGCTCAGAATCTTCTTGTTCCTAATTGTTTTTTTCAAATTTGATGGGAGCATTTGAAATAAATAATGCTGATGTTATTGATGGTATCTGTGTTTGAAAAAAAAGATATTTACAAGCATAAGAAAATGTGATTTTTAAAATGTAACCTTTAACTCAGCTGTTTCTGCTTTTATGTTTCTATACCTAGTTTCTCATTTGGAATCCCTATACTTCTTAGGGATTCACGGAGGTTAACTATTAGACTGTAAGATTTTTCTTATGTTTTAAAATGCTTATTGGAATTGTGCCTTTACTCTGTATATGCGAGTGTCTGGCTGGTATCTTTAATATTACAAATGGGGAAAGTAATTAATTATTCTTTAATGACTATTTGATNAAGTATAATTCCTTTAACAAAAAAGGTAATAGAATCACAATATATTACCTGGTTTGACTATGAACAATGTTCGTGTTACTTTAATAAATTAACCATTTAATATTGTTCTAACCAAAAAGTATAATTATATTGGGTAGACAGAATGAGAAAAAGGACACGTTGTGGTGGTGCTTTTGGTGGTGTTGGGGAGTGTGTGGGGTGTGTGGGGTGTGTG